CTTTGCATGTGTCAAAGAAGAAAATGTCTTAAAAATTTAAACGTTAAACAATTATATTTGTACTGCTTAATAAAAATAATGTCTTAGTAGGACTGTTTTTATTCTTCAGAGGTCTGTTACTAACTAATTATATGGGGCAAAGACCTTTGGAATCTAAAAGTTGTTCAGTGGGTCAATAAATTCCCCATCTTTATGGAATGTTCATTACTGGGTTCACAAGAGCCTGCCACTGGTTTTAGCCCTGAACCAGATGATTCCAGATGGTAAGCTGACACCGTGTTTCTTAGAGATGCAATCTAGTATTATTCCCTTGCCCATGCCTAGGTCTTCCAAGTGATTTCTTCCATCAGGTTTGCTGACTATATTTTGCATGCATTTCTTATGTCTCGTTTGCTACATGCCTGCCCATGTCATCCTCCTTAATTTGAGCACCATAAAAATATTTGCTGAAGATTACAAAGTAAATTCCTCATTATGCAATTTTTTTCATTCCTCCTGTTACAATCTTAGATCAAAGATTTGCAAGTATTTAATATTAAATCATTTCCTTAACTGTGGCATTCAGATCATTCCAACTAACTGTGTATTTTTGCCTTTCTGTATTGTATTTCTTCTCCAGCAGTCCACACCTTTATCTGTGTAGCTTTCTTTGACAATAGGAGGAAGTTCGTGGTACAAAATGTTGGGAATTTGTTGCTGTATTACAGAAGTCAGCTGTTAGAGACTGTTTCGAGGCAACTAAAAGTTTGTATCACTACCACTAGTTATGTGTATTGCATTCTTCTGCTTATTTTACATACATGTTCATAAATAAGGAGTTAATATGACCTTTTTTTATCCAAAATCATTAGATTACTGGACACTCAAAGTTTTGGCGTACTTCTCTTGAATCGTTCTGTTTTTACGAAATGTTTCAATAGTTGTGGAGATATTAATGTGTTTGTGTGTGCGTGCGTATATATATTTTTATTTATTTATTTTTTTAAAGAGCCATTTAGGTTTGATAATGACCCTTCAGAAACTGTGAGAGGTCTGCAGCTGTCAGGCAAAGTGTTCAGAGGAGTGGCATTCAGATTCTGAAGCAGAAGTAAACAGTTTCTTAAGTTTCAGTAACTAGCCAAGAAGTGGCAGAATTTCAGGAGGAATTTGATAAAACATAAAAGAAACATTGGTGTTTCTTAATGGTATTAACCACTTGAAATTTAACACAATTCACATAAATGTTGGTAAATGAAAATTGGGATAATGAAATATGTAAGTATTATTATTTTCTGTATTTTCTGAAAACATGAATAGGCATACTATTCACATATTTTTTACAAATACTGTACTCTTCTACTTTATGAGGAAGTCTGTGAAGTGCGAGTTCCTTTGTAATGTCAGTATTTGTATCCATTAGATACCTGTGTTATTTTAGGCCTGCATGTGTTTACATAGTATTTTGTTCTAGTAAAATTAGAATATAGTTTGTTTGATGCATCCTTTGCTTTACCATAAACAACTTTAAAAATGTGTAATGTGTTTAAACACACATGTACAGGTTGCATAACATTTGCTCATTAGAAAACAATATAAGTAGGCCTTTATATTTTGGCTCCAGTGACATGTAATGCTTATACTGTGTTTACATTTGTATATTTTATGCTGCTAGTTTATCACATTATGTTTTCTCAGTTCTCTGACCTCCCATTGTTTTTATCAGGCAAGACAGTAAAATCTCTATCTAGTGTGCTTGTTTTGACCCCATTTGTAAGTAAGATGATGAACAGTCTAAGTCTTCAATATCAGGGCTACTGTTTCTCTTGCACTACATTAACAGTTTGTTGTAAATAAGTTCTGTAGCTCAAGATGTCTTCCATGGCCAGTTTGTTATTTCATCAACTGTGAAGTGGCTCTGGATGATGGCTCAGCTCTGGAAGGAATGGAGTAGTGAATATTGATGGAAGTGGGAGAGCCCTGAGAAAGCGTACTTGTGTTGCTGTCTCTCCAACAAATTCCAAATGGACTAATCAGGTATCTTTTCTTCTTTGATGATCTTTTATTTATTTATTTAATATTGTATGAAATAATACAAATATGCTTTACATTTTGCCAGTCTGTCAAATATTCTTTCTTCTTCTCCTATGGCGCAACAGCCTGAAGTCGAGACTTGACCTCCTCCCCTGTGGGAGGCTTCTATGTCTTTTCAAGTGTGCATTTATGAGTAGTGAGTGACAAGCCCACTGCCTGTCCACAATTTCTACTCAATACTGATTTGTCAACTACAGCCATCTGTTAGTGAATCAGGAGAGACTTGGGTGAGAAATGGCCACTGAATTTTGCCTATGAAACATCTTATTCATGTTTGTAAGGTTCTTTTACATGCTGTAAAACTACGACATGGTACCGCCGGCTTCAGTTCCCCTCTGAAGGAAGTTGTGCTACGGATTTTTGTCAACCTTAAAAATCCATTGACCTTGGCCGGGTTTGAACCCGTGAACCCTGGGTCCAGTGGCAAGCATGCTAACCACTAGTCCGCCGAGGGTGACTTGTCAAATATTCTGCATTCATCAAATGCTGGAATAAAAATGGAGTACAGTAAGACAGTACACCAGCTTCAAAATTGCTATGACTTAGGGAGAAGTCTTGTACAGCTACCATTGAATGTGGTGTACCAGTGACACTAGTTGGGTTAATTAAAATGTGTTTGAATGAAATCTGTAGTAAAGTTTGTATAGGTAAACTTTTGATGGAATTTCCTACTAACAGTGGTTTGAAACAAGGGATGCTTTATTGTTATTGTTTCTCAACATTTTTTAATATGCCATAAGGAAGGTAACAAAATCAGAAGGGACTGGAATTGAATGGACGCATTAGTTTCTCATTTATGGTGATTATATTGGTTTGTTATGAGAAATCAGTAAGTGCTGTGAAGCAAATCACATAAAAATATTAGATGTAAGTAAGGAAGTTAGTCTAGATGTATGTGCAGAGAATCTAAGTACATGTTCATGTCTCATCACAAGAATACAGGACGCAAAGTATGAAGATAGCAGTCATCGTTGCGCTGATGATGGAGACAGCAGGTACCTTTGAAATGTTGGTAAACTTCTACCAGACTTTTTTGCTACCACTCAAAAGACAGCAATCTTTATATCTCACATACTGGGACTGAGTTTTTACAGTCATTTTCAAGGGTATATAAAAGCTTCTGGTCAGATGTACTTAATTGTTTATTGTCTTGAAACATCACATGTAAATATGAGATTTTCACTGCATTGAAAATGTATCTTGAAGATGGAGGCAGCACATTCATCAAAAATGTTTGTAACCACCTTAATTATTTTAATTATCTTATTTTAAATACATTGTGATTTGACGGAATAACCAAATAATTTAATTTTAATTTCATAAGTCACAATATGACGCAACTACACTATCTTGTTATGAGAAATCGGTAAGTGCTGTGAAGCAAATCACATAAAAATATTAGATGTAAGTAAGGAAGTTAGTCTAGATGTATGTGCAGAGAATCTAAGTACATGTTCATGTCTCATCACAAGAATACAGGACGCAAAGTATGAAGATAGCAGTCATCGTTGCGCTGATGATGGAGACAGCAGGTACCTTTGAAATGTTGGTAAACTTCTACCAGACTTTTTTGCTACCACTCAAAAGACAGCAATCTTTATATCTCACATACTGGGACTGAGTTTTTACAGTAATTTTCAAGGGTATATAAAAGCTTTTGGTCAGATGTACTTAATTGTTTATTGTCTTGAAACATCACATGTAAATATGAGATTTTCACTGCATTGAAAATGTATCTTGAAGATGGAGGCAGCACATTCATCAAAAATGTTTGTAACCACCTACATGAATGCATGTCACAACTTATATGACCACAACCTAAAATTACATGAAGATATTTGTAAATTCCATATTTTTTCATACTGCATTAACTAACTAACTAACTAGATGGCTTACCGAACCTGAAGGTTCATCACCGAATTAACCAAAGCCCTCCACCGGACCCTGTCCTGGGCCAACAAAATCCAGTTTCCTTCAACTCCTATCTCCGATAGATCCCGCCTGAGATTATCCTCCCATCTATGTCTAGGTCTCCCCAGCGGTCTCTTCCCTTCAGGTTTCCCAACCAGTCCCCGGTGCACACTTCTTGTCCCATCCATGCGCGCAACAAGCCCCGCCCATCTCATTCTTCCCGACTTAATCACCTTGACAATATTTGGGGAGGAGTACAGATTTTTAAGCTCATCATTATGCAGTTTTCTCCACGCCCCATCGTCTTCCCTCTTAGGCCCAAATATCCTCCTCAACACCCTGTTCTCAAACACCTGCAATCTGTGTTCCTCCCCCTGAGTGAGAGACCATGTTTCGCACCCATACAAAACAACAGGCAAGATTATTGTTTTGTATACTTTAATTTTCGGGTTCTTAGATATCAGACAAAAGACAAAATATTTTGAACTGAGAAGTAGCAAGCATTTCCAGATTTTAATCTCCTCCTACCTTCCTCAAAAGTGTCATTTTTCATACTGCATTATTGATTAAAATAGCAGTATGCACAAATTTTAAGAATTTAGTGAAGTTGTAGTTCCAGCTTCTGTCATGTTATGTGTAGTCTTATTCTGATTTGTGTTTGTTGACATTGTGTGTTCTTGTGGTGCTGATAGCTTATCTTATGTACTTTAAATTACTTTTGTTTTTTCCTTGTCAGGAGACCATCGTATTTTGCATTGCTGTCATATATATTTTGAGATTTATTGTCAGACTTTTTTGTTGGTGCATTGTGTCCTTTTGATGTTATGTTGCTCTAACTGTTATTCTCTGCTTCATGCCTGTCTCCTAATTAACCATTAATGTGCCTTAGGTCAGACATTGTTGTGTTTACCCATGAAGATGACTAAAAATTCATTTTGAACATGTAGGATATAATAAAAAATAACACAAAATGTAAATTTTTAGAAGTTGTATTTATCTGGTTCCATACATAATATCGAATGCAATAATAAAGTAGCATGAATAATGTAATCTTATATTTATTTTATCACAACAGGAGAATATTAATTTTCAATTTCTTTCTTTTTCCAGGATAAGAAGTGTAGGAAACAAGTTGTCAGAGGCTAGAGAGCCAGGCTGTTACTAATTTCAAATCAGTTACAGGTACATGAACTATATGCCACTTTTGGGCTCATCCTTTTATTAACATGCATCATGTTCACCAACATAGCGTGCAGTGTACATAATGGAACAGAATTGCTCAGCTCTGAATGGGGTAAGTGACATTTTAGAACATAGACAAGACAAACAGAATGATAGTGAAGTATTTTTCTAACAATATATGACATCAATTCATTGTTTCTTTACCAATTTATCCATGCCATGGCTTACCCTCCAGTTGTGGATGGAGGAGAGAGCCTCCAGGTATGGAGAATGGCTGTGAATATTTTGCCTTTGTGGTCACAGATTACCAACAAAAGGTGGTACTAGAGGGGGTGAGCATGGGACCAGTAACCAATGCGCCCCACTGGCGACCGAAAAGATGAAAACAATCCCAGAGGCCGGGAGGTGGTGCGGTCATAGGATAAGAAAAGCCGAACTTGTTTCAAGTTTCTCGGTGGCGGAAACTCTTTTATCACGCTTATCCTTTCGGGGTTAACGCGGACGCCTGCAGCCGACAATAAATGACCAAGGAAGCTGATCTCTGACCGTGGCTGGGTTTAGAGTGAAACCGGTATTTTGTAGTCTAGAAAAGACCTCCCTTAGGTGTCTGATATGTTCATCCCAAGTGCTGGAATAAACCAACAGATCGTCGAGATAATTAAACAGAAATTTAAATTTGATGTCTCCAAATATTCGATCAACCTCGCGGCTTAAAATCTACCCGCCTACACAAATCTCCACGGAGTGATAAAAGCGGTATATTTCCGACTCTTCTGATCGAGAGGTATCTGGTAATAGGCACTATTTCTTGTATAAAACACTGAAATACTTAGCTCCGGGGAAATGTTGAAATGCGCTTTCAATAGTGGGTAACGGAAAGGAGTCGTATATCACTTTCTGATTAAACTTCCGATAATCGATCACCAATCGAAATTTTCCTTCCTTTTTGGCGACGAGGAAGGCCGGACTCGCGTAATTAGAAGTGCTAGGCTTAATGACACCATTTTTCAGCAAGTCGTTCACATGCTACCGGAGGGCGATCAGTCTTGGTGGCGATCTCACTGGCACATCGTCAGATAGTTCGATGCCGCAAGTGCGTCCCCTCACAGTGCCCGGTCTATCGGAGAACAGCGCGGGAAACTCTTTGATGAAAGTGGAAATACTACAAACCGACTTCTCACTTACGGGCATCGCTTTTTTTCTGGGCGCGCCTGTGGGAGTAGAGAGAAATTCACACTTCTGTTGAGGTCTGAACTGGAAGTGGCATATCCCCCGAAAAGGATTCAGAACCATACCACTATGGCAGACAAAATCCGCTCCCAGAATTACTCCCACCGGTAAGCGTCTCGCCACGAGAAGTCGTGGATTTTAAAATGCAGTCTGATTCTCCAGGATACTCGAATCTCTTGTGAAGCAGCAGTAACCAAACTGACGCCAGACGGCATTTCCTTAAATGGCACGCCAGACTTCCGCAAATCCTCAACAAAATCCATAGCGACCAGAGAAAACACAGAGCCCGTATCTACCAAAGATGGCTGGTGGAGACTTTTACAAGAGACAGTAACCCATGGGCACAACGATCGGAATGGTCTTGCTCTAAATCTCGCGCTCGGGCCACTCCTACTTACGGGTGGGCGGCTGGGTCGTTTCCCTGCCCACGACCACGAGTCCCCCTCTTACCCGGTGTCCTACGTGAGCGATTAAATCTGAGCGGTGCGAATTGCGTGGGTGAAGCGGAAATATCAAACTGGCTGTTTGTGTGGCGCTGTCCTAGGTTACAGCGAAGCGGTCAGCGGTCAAAGTCGGAGATCAAATATTTTGATATTTTCGCATGAGTCGCTGTGCTGGCCAGTAATGCGCATGCGCAAGAAAGCTCGGACCATGCAGTACACGGAATAGATGCTGGCAGCTGCGCCATGGCATCCCGTTGGCACGCAGGAAGACCGTGTGCTTCTATTGCGGTCTCACACGTAGGTCACAACAAGCGATTCCCAGCTTCATATGACACCCCATGCTGCTTATGCAGCTCGCTTGTTATCCCTTGCTTAGGAAGACGCGGCGCCAAGGGCGTCCAACCTTTGCCTACCGGCAACCAGACAGATAATTCACGACCCAACGCATATAGATCCAACACTGCCCTCGGCCTTTTAGAAAAAAACAAAATGGGCCCTCTGCCCCGGATCCATATTCTGTAGAATAAGATCCACAATCTCAACCTCCTGAGAAAAACCTGGCAAAACCTCAGCGGAATTAACCACGGAGTCTACAAAGTCACCGACGGACTGAAATCGACGACTGACGAATTCTACCTTAAGGTCATCTAGCAAACGAGATGGCAGAAACTCCTCCACGAGCCTCTGTCGGGTTTGACCCCACGCGAGATTAAACCTCAAACAGTCGCCCATCGTTTGCATTACCCGCCCTACTGTTTTAGGAAGGAGAGCCGAAAGGATTTCGTCCTCCCTGACCAGGCCCAATTTAACCAACGAATTGGCCTTCATCAAAAAGGTCAATAACGCTTTCAGAGATCTGCCGCCCACCGCATCCATGGAATTCACCAATCCTAACACCACGTGCATATGAGGTCTGTGAATGGAGGACGTTCCAGGAGGATCATCTATGGGTGTTAGCTCATCAGCCGCAGGGAGATCACCGGTTTGAACCTCAGCCAATTTAACGTCAACCGGAAATCCACGTCCCATTACCTCCACATGAATCGCCGAAATTTCCTGCGTTCTGCCTCAGCCAATTTAACGTCAACCGGAAATCCACGTCCCATTACCTCCACATGAATCGCCGAAATTTCCTGTTCCTCCTGCGTTCTCAAAAAGGCCACGAAGCGGGGACGAAGCTCGGCCAGCGGACTCGTAGCATGTACCCGATACTTCTCGCACAGCTTCACAATGTCCTTGCACAGGTCGGAGACCCAACCAACTGTCGGGAGCCATGAGAGAAGGAAAGGGAACACCAAAGAAAAGAAGACCAAGTAATTAAATAAAGGAACACCAAGTGAAAACCAAAATAAAATAAAATACACAATTAAACAAATCACCTGCTTAAAAATACAAAACAATCCTCCCAAACCAAACCCCCGGGGTCCTACTGTCGGGACGCATCCAACGTCCCACCTAACCAACTTCTCCCCTAGTTCGGTCAAGAATAAACAAGAGCTAACGCAGGCAAGGTCGGCAGGCCACAAGAGGACCTGTCTGTGCCACACGGTGCCCCAACAGCACGCCCACCACAACACTCTTAACTTCAGAATCGTCAAAAAAAATTGGAATACCAAAAGACAAATCAGGAGCGGTCACAAGCCCCCCCAAAAAACAAAACTTCCGCAACCACGCTCTTCTACCAATTTGCGCCCTACTGGCGGCCGAAAAGATTAAAACAATCCCAGAGGCCGGGAGGTCATAGGATAAGAAAAGCGGTTAAGCCAAAAAACAAAATAAAAGAACCCCCCGATTAATCGAAAAGTATATTTAATAAAATTTATATAAACATTGAAATAAAGAGAACAAAGAGACACAAATCGGTCAACCCTTCCAGGGCTCAGTCTCCGGTTGGTTATACGACTAGACACGTCAGACTAGACCCCCAAAACAGACCTGCCTTTAACCTTTCTCCTGGAGACTTTCACTCCCGACGGACACACACAGACCGTCTGCCCTGCCGTCTCATCAGGGCCTCGAAGCCAGCGACTCCAAAGAACGTCGAGAGGGGAGGCATGGTTCACCAATTGCAGTAAAATATCAAACTCTTTTTTTGACGTAAATACGTCTATATTTTAGTGTCAGTGTCATTCGGCAAAAATGTGTTATGAAAAAGTGTAACTTCATTGTTATGTTACCTAGGAAACGTCAAACTTCATTGTTATGTTACCTGGGAAACGAAAAAGTGTAACTTCATTGTTATGTTGCCTAGGAAACGTCATCTGTTTATCAACAAATAAACAACAATGGTTACCTACATAGTTACCTTAACTTACATTACCTTGCCTTACCGTACATTACCTTACCTTACCTTACATTACTTTACATTACTTTACATTACATTCATCAACCACAGACCCATCTTAAGCGTAACTAATTCAAGTTAAATAAGCAATGTCTTAATCAAACTTTACTCAATTGTAAAGCAGGTGTGCCGTATTTATGTCAAATTCTCTGGAACTGAGGTTCCACTGACAATTTTTTAACTTGTGTATTCTTCCTCGAAAATAATGTGCTAAAACTACGTTTGAAATTCATTGTGAATATTGGATTCAGCTTAGGGTAACAAAATAACTTTGTTCACACTGTATTGAAAACATCTGATCTAATGTTTCTTCTCACATTGTATCTGGCAATCAGTCACCTTGGTAAGGTGAATACTGTACTTTCAACTGAGAAGGCCCAACAGAATTTTACTTTCA